GCAGAAGAGAAGATGCAACCATTTTCAAAGATCACTGAAAAGAGTGAAGGAGGTAAAAAAGACAGTGTTGCCAGGCAAAGTGTGTGAAAAGTGAAGAAAGATCACAATGACTTGGAAGAGATGGAAGGGAAAGCGCAGGAGAATTATTTTGGAAAACAAGATTGTTTTGGAAACGAGAGAAACAAAGTGGCCTCAAATTGAAGGACAGAGCTGGGAGGGAGAAGTGAAGGAAAAGGGTAAAGACTTGGATTGTGGGTGTGCATGTGTGGCACACCAAGGTTGTGATGAGCACCTTTGAACCCACAAACACACAAATGTTCTTTAATAAGCAAGCAGTTTATTGAAGAGTAATATGGCAAGTGCCAAAAGGTAAAAGGCAATAAAAAAGGAAATAATAGAATGTCCAAAAAACAATCCAAATGCAAAATAAACTTAACCAGCAAAGTCCACATCAGGAGAACAGGATAGTTCCAAAGTCCAATTAACCAAGTCCACAGGAAATAGTCCTTAAGTCCAAAAGGTTGGAAGATCAAAGTCCCTTGAAGAGTCAGGAGCACACTTGAACAACACTAAATGCAGTAGCTTGAAATCAGGATACAAGGCTTACAAAAATCTCAGCATGAACATGAATCTGGAGCAAGATTTTACATGAGTCTCAGCATGATACAAAGACATGAGGCAGGCATGGAAGCTGAATGTTGGACTCCCTGAAGAGCATGCATGCACAGGCCCTATGTTATTCAAAACACTATGGCAAAAGCATTCCGATTCCCTTGGGAAACCTCTTTCAAACCCCTTCTTTCTCTTAATCTTGCTGAATGCCTTCTCCCTAAGTCTAGGTGGTGATCATGATAGATTTGCCCTCCTCCGGTTCGTTCATTAGCATATTCCTTTCTCTCTCACTATCTAACCTTGACTGTTTGGCCTTGGCCTGTTTCCCATCAGACTGTTTCAAGACATCTTTGCCTCGGGAACCAGCAATCCCAGAATCCTCAGTTTCACTCTGGCTAACTTCATTTTCTAGACCAAGGGTCCTCAAACTAAGGCCCGGGGGCCAGATGCGGCCCTCCAAGGTCATTTACCCGGCCCTCGCTCACTGTCAACCTAAGTCTGTAACGACAACAACAATCCCATCTCATCAGCCAAAAGCAGGCCCACACTTTCCATTGAAATACTAATAAGTTTATATTTGTTAAAATTGTTCTTCTTTTAATTATTGTATTGTTTTTCAGTGTTTTTTGCACTATAAATAAGATATGTGCAGTGTGCATAGGAATTTATTTATGTTTTTTTCACATTATAATCCGGCCCTCCAACAGTTTGAGGGACTGTGACCTGGCCCTTTGAATCATAGAATCATAGAATCAAAGAGTTGGAAGAGACCTCATGGACCATCCAGTCCAACCCCCTGCCAAGAAGCAGGAATATTGCATTCAAATCACCCCTGACAAATGGCCATCCAGCCTCTGCTTAAAAGCTTCCAATGAAGAAGCCTCCACCACACTCCGGGGCAGAGAGTTCCACTGCTGAACGGCTCTCACAGTCAGGAAGTTCTTCCTAATGTTCAGATGGAATCTCCTCTCTTGTAGTTTGAAGCCATTGTTCCGCGTCCTAGTCTCCAGGGAAGCAGAAAACAAGCTTGCTCCCTCCTCCCTGTGGCTTCCTCTCACATATTTATACATGGCTATCATATCTCCTCTCAGCCTTCTCTTCTTCAGGCTAAACATGCCCAGTTCCCTAAGCCGCTCCTCATAGGGCTTGCTCTCCAGACCCTTGATCATTTTAGTCGCCCTCCTCTGGACACATTCCAGCTTGTCAATATCTCTCTTGAATTGTGGTGCCCAGAATTGGACACAATATTCCAGATGTGGTCTAACCAAAGCAGAATAGAGGGGTAGCATTATTTCCTTAGATCTAGACACTATGCTCCTATTGATGCAGGCCAAAATCCCATTGGCTTTTTTTGCCGCCACATCACATTGTTGGCTCATGTTTAACTTGTTGTCCACGAGGACTCCAAGATCTTTTTCACACGTACTTTAAAAAGTTTGAGGACCCCTGTTCTAGACCATCATCTGCATTCACAAATCCCCAAGAATCAATAGAAACCTGATCATTAAAGTCAAACATGGGAACCTCTGAAGGGTCCTGATCATGATTATTCTCCTGTGGCACAAGACAACCACAGACTGAACCTCTACAGCATGTTTACTCTGGTCAACTATAAAACCCATGGTGGAGAACAGTCAAACATGGCACTTTATTGCACCCGGAAGTGTGCTCTGCAGATTAGACTATTCATTGGATTTTATTCTCCTCATCTCTAATGTCTGATTGGAATATAGATACTGGAGATTTTGGGGGTATGAAGCCTCAATGGTGTGGTGAAGTATAAGAGTTTATTCGATGCTTAGACCATAGGTCTTTCACATACAAGGCAAGGCAAATAAATAAATACATGAACACCAGATTATTAAATACAATATAAAATACACAATAAAATCCTATAAATCATTAAAATGCTACATATATCGATGGCAAGATGCATATATACTGTATGGACTCACACCTGCGTAATTAAAAACCAAGTAAAACCAAATAGATACAACATTATTAAAACTACATAAACAGCCACTATTAGTTAAAAGCATGCTTCAAGTCGTCTCTGGTTGCTTCTGGGTTAAGAGAATCGGCCATCTACGAAGACGTTGCCCAGGGGACGCCCGGATGTCTTGCAATCCTGCGAGGAGGCTTCTCTCATGTCCCCAAATACCTGGGAGTCACTTTGGACCGTGCTCTGACCTACAAGAAGCACTGCCTGAACATCAAACAAAAAGTGGGCGCTAGAAACAACATCATACGAAAGCTGACTGGCACAACCTGGGGATCACAACCAGACACAGTGAAGACATCTGCCCTTGCGCTATGCTACTCTGCTGCTGAGTACATGCCCAGTGTGGAACACATCTCACCACACTAAAACAGTAAATGTGGCTCTTAATGAGACATGCCGCATTATCACAGGGTGTCTGCGCCCCACACCACTGGAGAAATTACACTGCTTAGCCGGTATTGCACCACCTGACATCCGCCGGGAAGTAGCAGCCAATAGTGAAAGGACCAAGGCAGAGACATCTCCAGCTCATCCCCTGTTTGGTATCAGCCAGCACGTCAACGACTTAAATCAAGAAATAGTTTTCTTAGATCTACAGAGACACTCGCTGGAACACCCCAGCAAGCGAGAGTCCAAAAGTGGCAGGCCCAAACCCAGCACCTCAATTCATGGGTGATACCAGATGAGAGACTCCCCCCTGGGCACTCAGAAGACTGGGCGACTTGGAAGGCGCTGAACAGATTGCGCTCTGGCACCACGAGATGCAGAGCCAATCTTAAGAAATGGGGCTACAGGGTGGAATCCTTGGCATGCGAGTGCGGAGAAGAGCAAACCACTGACCACCTGCTGCAATGCACCCTGACCTTCTTGCGGCAACCCCAGAGGCACTCCAAGTGGCCAGATACTGGTCAAAGGACATTTAACCAAATACCAAATTTGCAAAATCTGTGTGGGTTTTTTCCCTTTTTTTTCTTTTTCTTTTTAATCTCTGTGTTTGTTTTGCTCTGTTAGAATTGTAATACAATGGTTGCTGATGACACGATAAATAAATAAATAAATAAATAAATAAATAAATAAATAAGTTAAAAGCATCCCCAGCACAGTCAACTGCAATATCAGAGATTGGTTTTGCCTGGATTTTCTGTGCTGCCAAGGCAAAAAGAGACACCTTTTGAGTAACCACGGGGTTAGTGTCAGCCAAGAGATAGAAAATCTTTTCGGACACAGTGTTGGTCTGAAGGAGATGAAGAACAGACCCCAGGATTTTGGTTCTTGGTTCAGAGTACAAAGGACAGAAAAGCAAATAGTGAGGTAGATCCTCAATTTCCGGGGCCCCTTCTGGAGAGCCTCCAGTTTCGCTGTCTGAGACTCATCCCATCCTCAGACAGCAGCACCATACAAAATTTGGGCTATAACTTTACTCTGAAATATTTTAAGGGCTGGGACAACTAGATGACCTCCTGCAGTGTTGTAGAATCTGAGTATTGCTCCGACAGATTTCAAAGCCATCACTTTAGTGTGTTCTATATGCAGAGGCGACCCTAGGTAATTTTCAACGGTAAGCAAACAGTATTTTGTCCCCCCCCCCCCCCAACCAATCACTGATATATATTTTCTGTTCATTGTGGGAGTTCTGTGTGCCATATTTGGTTCAATTCCATCACTGGTGAAGTTCAGAATGCTCTTTGATTGTAGGTGAACTATACATCCCAGTAACTACAACTCGCATATGTCAAGGTCTATTTTGTCCCTAGAGCGCCTCAAGAGAGCCCCTGGGCAAAATCAACTATACTGCAAATTCTTACTTTGTTGAGCCACTCCTGTCTATATGGGTTTTCCAGGATAGTTTTTCCGTGAAATGGATTCCAAAGTACTTACATTCTTGACATTGTTCTATTTGGTGACCCCTGATGGACCATCTGTGTTGAGAGTGTCTTCTTCCAAACACCATTACCTTTGTTTTATTATAGTTGATATTCAGCTTTTCTTTAGAACAATATGCACCAAGCTTAGAAAGCAGTCTTCTCAGGCCAATAGTGTGGTGAATATGGCAAAAGGTATTCAAGGTAAAGAAAATACAAGCTAGGAAAGGATGCATAAGTTTGCTTTTGCCTGAGCCTACTGTAAAGTACACTCTTCTCCCCTCCCTTTTCCTGAGTTAATTGAATACAAAGTACTTTTGCAGGTTGATCTCAGTTTGCAGCAAGTAAATAAGTGGAAGAATGGTAGAAAGTGTGGGGAGAAGAAACTGGAACGTTTTAAAAGTAATTGAATAAGTAATATGGAAGAGAATTAATCAGCACTGACCTTGGCAAATTGGGGCAGTAGGTGGGTATGTATTTGTCTGTGTCGATGTCTCTTTAATAAATATTATTTTCTTACCCAGTATCTCCCATAGTGAAGCCAGGGGATAGCGCACCTGTCAAAGAAGATTTTCCCCGCCTGTACAGAATTTGGGATGTGAGCCAGAAATACTTTTTCCTGGTGGACAATATTCTTGTAGCAAATCATCAAGATTCCAACGCTCCAGGTAACTGCCTCCATTAGGTTAATAAAAATGTAGAATTGTCTTCAGACAATGCTTACCTAGCTAGTGATGATTTAACTATGGATAAATGAAGACTCAAATCAAGGAAAAGCCACCACTCCTCTTAATGTTTCCCCAGCAACAGCAAGAGTAAACAGCAACCGCATTGTCTTCCCCTGTACATGAGGCAGGGCATAGTGGACAAGCATACAGATGTGGAATTGGCTGTTCTGCTCCACAGTCACACAAGGTGGAGGATTCTTTGGGTCGTGCCATATTACCAGGTTGTCTTTTGATATGCTCACTCTACTTCTGAGTCTGTTCAGGGACTTCCAAGTTGCCCCAAGGGTCTTCCTCCAAGGGCAAACCAAGAAAGGGCAACTTGGAAGTCCCTGATATAAGTATAGACTAAATTCAATATCATAATTAGCTAAGTGTTCATACAGTTTATCCCTAATACACAGTTTCTGCAGTATTTTGTGAATTCCTGCACAAAATGGAAAACAGTTCAGCCGCCCTTTAAACCAGTGTTTCTCAACCTGGGGATTGGGACCCCTCAGGGGGTCAGAGGGGGGTCAGAAGGGTCACCAAACACCATCAGAAATCAAAAGGGTCTTAGGAACCCTTTTGGCAGAGAAGGCTAAAGATCTCTCACATGTCCTCTTCCTTTTTGGTGTTTGTTGGTGAACTACAACTTCCAGTATTCAAAAACAGCACTCCCCAACCCCAGCAGTATTCAGTGTTGGCCATGTAGGTAGTGTGTCAAGTTTGGTGCAGATCCATTCTGGGCTGGGTTCAGAATGCTCTTTGATTGTAGGTTAACTATACATCCCTGCAACTACAACTTCCAAAGTCATGGTCTGTTTTCCCCAAACTCCAACAGTGTCCACATTTGGGCATACTGAGTATTTGTGCCAAGTTTGGTTCAGATCCATATGAGTTCTCAGTGCTCTCTGAATGTAGGTGAAGTACAACTCTAAAACTCAAGGTCAATTCCCACCAAACCCTTCTGGTATTTTCTGTAGGCCATGGGAGTTCTGTGTGACAAATTTGGTTCAATTCCATCGTTGGTGGAGTTCAGGATGCTCTTTGATTGTAGGTTAACTATAAATCCCAGCAACCGCAACTCCCAAATGACAAAATCAATCCCCCCACAACCCAACCAGTATTCAAATTTGGGCATAACAGATATTTGTTTCAAATTTGGTCCAGTGAATGAAAACACATCCTGCATATCAGATATTTACATTATGATTCAAGTAGCAACAAAAATAATTTTATGATTGGGTGTCACCACAACATGAGCAACCATATTAAGGGGTCACAGCTGTGCTGGTACGGCTGTACCAGGAGCTCCAACTTCTTTTCCTTTCTATTGAGTATTTGCATGTATTCCAAAGTTCCATGCATTTTGCAATAAAGTAGCTTCCCTTGGTTTGCAATAATAGGGCCAATGACCCATCAATTATCATTATGTTCTTTAGATCCGCCCCTTTTTCTGGGTTAAGGAGGGAAAAAGGGGACCTCTAGTTCAGTTCACACAGAGAAGCCTTTCGTACAGGACGTGAATCAGTTCCACCTGTAGAAAGCTTCGTCTTTTACAGCTTTGCTGGGGGAATCCAGTCCCACAGCTCTACAGAAAACTACAGCATAGCCTTTGTTGGGGAATTTAGTTCCACAACTCTACAGCCAGCTCTTTGCTGGAGAAATACAGCTCCATGGTTTTTCAGCCAGCCTTCGCTGGGAAACAAAGGACTTCTTTCCTCTGGGAAATCTACACAGAGACTTTGACCTGGTAAGGACCTCTTGCGGCAGCCATAACGCAAATTGGAACCGGGTGTAGGGGCCCCACGTCAGCAAAGCCTAAATACAGATTGCCCAAGGAGAGGTCAAGGATTTCCCTTATAGAAGGAAGAAACAGTTTATGAAGAAAGTTGCCTGTCCCTTGTGGACAAGATTTAAGCAAGCCACCAGTTGATTCAAAGCCTTGAAGTATTTGTTTGATTTATTAAAGATTTAAGCAACAATAAAAACTTTGTTGAACTTTCTAAGTCTTTAAAAGAACTTTGTGTGGGGAAATCCAAAAGGCCTCTCAGCCGAGGCACCCCTGGCGTCCTGTTGGGTGTACAGAAAACACGTCCTGTCTACAGACTCTTTCACAGGCCCAGCGCGTGACAGCACAACAGCATTAGGAACGCTGAGAATCACTGCTTTAAACTGTTTCTGGTGGGGTACATTCCTGGGCTGGGTATTAGAGTGGCACCTATATGCTTTACAGTGGGTGGTGAACAAGGTGCTTATCACTTTATTCTTACCTCCTTTATTCATATGAAAAAGTGGGCATTTGTTTATATAGACCTTTTCTGTTTACTGTCTTCCATTAGTGGTTTCTCATCCAAAATTCCCTGACCAGCAACAAGTCCTTTCTCTCTCTCTCTCTGATATTACTGGCCCCGTTTCTCTTTCAGAGCAGTTGATGGAAGTGCTCCCTAACACTGCTCTGGATTCCAAAATGATGCCCATCTTTATGGGTCCCCAAGGTAGAAAACAATGCCTGTCCTGCGAGAAGTCTGCTGAGGATCAACTTCAGCTACAGCTAAAGGTGAGTTTTGCTTGTGCTTCGGAATCTTTTTTGATTCCTGTTCTGTTCTTTCCCCCACCACAATTAAAAATGAACATGCAAAAATATTGTGGGACTTTTGAATCCAGACTGACAAAGTTTTGGAACACAATACACCAGACATCATGATTGTGGAAAAGAAAAAAGTTTGGATTATTGATGTCACCATACCGGGTGACAGTTGCATTGAGGAAAAACCCAGCTGTTATCAGGACCTCAAAATCGAACTGTAAAGGCTCTGGCATAAACCAATACAGGTGGTCCCAGTGGTCATTGGCACACTGGGTGCCGTGCCAAAAGATCTCAGCCGGCATTTGGAAACAATAAACATTGACAAAATCATGATCTGTCAACTGTGATAGGCTTCCCTACTTGGATCTGCATGCATCATTCGAAAATACATCACACAGTCCTAAATGCTTGGGAAGTGTTTGACTTGTCCGTAAAATATAAAAATATGTATTGTTGAAGGCTTTCATGTTGGAATCACTGGGTTGTTGTGAGTTTTCCGGGCTGTATGACCATGTTCCAGAAGGATTATCTCCTGACCTTTCCCCCTGCATCTATGGCAGGAATCCTCAGAGATTTTGAGGTCCGTTGGAAACTAGAAAAATTGGGTTTATATATCTGTGGAATTAACAGGGTGGAAGAATGTTTCAATTGGCCGCCTTGATTGACATTTAATGGTCTAGGGCAGTGGTTCTAAACCTGGGTCCCCAGATGTTTTTGGCCTACAACTCCCAGAAATCCCAGCCAGTTTACCAGCTGTTACGATTTCTGGGAGTTGTAGGCCAAAAACATCTGGGGACCCCAGGTTGAGAACCACTGGTCTAGGGTAAAGGTAAAGGTTTCCCCCTGGCATTAAGTCTAGTCGTGTCTGACTCTGGGGGGTGGTGCTCATATCCATTTCTAAGCCAAAGAGCCAGCATTGTCCATAGACACCTCCAAGGTCATGTGGCCAGCATGACCACATGGCGCACTGTTTAGCATCATCTAGCAGTATTAAAAAAACTCTAAACTCATAACAAGTAAATAAAGAATGCTAAAAAAAACAGGGGAATTCCAGACAAGAAACAATCAAGGCCAGCAATTCACCTCCCAACAAAGGATTCCCCCAGCAGTAAGAAGCCAGACTTTGAAATTGCTAGGCCATTAAATGCTAATCAAGTTGGCCAATTGCAAAATTCACACTTGCCTCAAATAGGGATGACTTCTTTCTCTCACCCTGGACACTCCACAGATATACAAACCCAATTTTCCTAGTTTCCAACAGACCTTGCAACCTCTGAGGATGCAGGTGAAACATCAGGAGAGGATTCTTCTGGAACATGGCCATGCAGCCCACAAAACTCACAAAGACCCATTTTAAAAAGAGAAGAAGTGACACAGTGGAAGATGGAGGCATGCCACCCACCTGGAAGTATGGCTTTGCACAAGAGGCATTACAATTGTGTGATGTCAGCAGCTGTATAAAGCCTCCCATCACTACAGACCTGAATGGCACAGAATAGCAACAAACATCCAGCAACAGTCACAACCTGGCATTACAGCAAAGCTATGTAAGGACCTATCTACACTGCCATATAATCCAGTTTTTAATCCAGATTATCTGCTTTGAACTGAATTTTATGGCAGGCTCATCTAATCCAGTTCAAAGCGGATCATCTTGATTCAGAAACTAGACAATATGGCAGTATAGATCCAGCCTAAAAGAAAAAGGTATAAATGAAAAGCCGCAATTAAGTTGCCTTGGTGAGGAGAGAAGTGTCAGGAACCGGTTTCCAGGCCTTCAGTTTTGGCGCTGAAAACCAGGGTCCTGACGTAGAGCACTGATAAGGACATTGCAGCTGGTGACCTCGGGGGAAGGCAGTTGGCATTTGGTGGGAGAGTTGCGCGGGATTTACCATTTGGCGGGAAGAGGGTTTTCAAATGTGGGGGTGGGTATAAAGAGATGACCAGCGGCCGCTGGTCAATCTCGGCTTTTGTTATGTCTGAGCATCCTGCAGTAAAGTTTCTAATTGATTACGGATCGGAGTCCTGTGTCATTATTGGGGATGGCTGCTGTGACAGCAGAAGCCTTGTAGAAGGTGTTCATTGTTTGCCAGGCAGATGTTTCATGTTTCTAGTATCATATCTCTTTTCTTTCTAACAGTGTATTTCTGTTTTCTTAGGAAAGTGACATCAAAAAGCTGTATGAAGGAAAGGAGAAATCACTTCCTTTCACCTTCTATAGCAAGACTGATGGGGGTCCCGAGACCTGCTCTTTCGAATCGGCCGAGTACCCGGGTTGGTTCTTAAGCACGTCATCCAAGCCAAACAAACCGGTGGGGCTGAGTCGCCAAGGAGGGACTGAGAACACACTGTTTTATTTTCAACGGCAGTGAAGTCCCTTTTTATATGCCTAACGACAATAATAATAAACTTTATTTGTATCCCGCCCCATCTCCCCATAGGGCGTTCATAAAAGGCAAGTATTCAATGCCAACAAATAAATACATGCATACGTGAATTAATAAAACATGTAAAAAACAAACCAGCAATTCACTCATTTAAAAATCATAATTAAACAAGACAACATAGTACCACACTGAACAGTGCAAATGATTGGGCTGTTGTAGGTTTTTCGGGCTATATAGCCATGTTCTAGAAGCATTCTCTTCTGACGTTTCACCTGCATCTATGGCAAGCATCCTCAGAGGTTGTGAGGTCTATTATTATAATGGGTAAAAAGGGTGGAATATAAATGTTTCTAATAATAATAATAATAATAATAATAATAATAATAATAATAATATCACGCAGACAGACTACAAACAGAAGCATAACACCATTGCTCAGATGATTCATTGGAACTTGTGCCACAAATACCATCTACCTGCGACAAAGAACAGGTGGGATCACAGGCCGGAAAGAGTTACAGAGAATGAACACGTCAAGCTACTCTGGGATTTCCGGATTCAGACAGACAGAGTTTTAGAGCACAATACTCCTGACCTCACAATTTTGTTAAAAAAGTATGGATTGTCGATGTTGCAATCCCAGGTTGAAGGAGACAATGAGTGATTTTTGCAATAGCTAAGCTTTGGCAACAAAACATAAGAAAGGTACCCCTCCCTGCAGAGAAAGAGCAACATGTCAGCAAGAGGGAGGATGTTCTAAAAAGAAGTTGCTAACCTGCTCAGCTTACATAGGAAATGGGTTTGCGGTGAAGCACAAAGTTTGCAAGTAGAGAACAAATTGTGGTTTTGACAAACAAAGGTTCAGGCTAGGTGCAAATATCAAAAGGTTGATGGGAGTCGGTGTTGGAAAAAGTAAAAGGTCAACCGTCAAGGTACCATCCATGACCAAAAATACCCTTGTTTACTTGATCTTATAAAAGTTTGCAGAAACCAAGGAAGGGGGCGGCAGTCACTTGCAAGTGTTGGTGCCTGCGTGTATTCAACACAACTGTCTGACTTTTTCATGGCCGTGATGAAAATAAAACCTTGTTTTTGATCTTTTTTGGGACTGTCTCCTTCCTTTCGTACTCCCATGACGTGGACCTAAGTATTAAGACCCGATTTAGGGTCTCTAACAAGGTGACAGCAGGATTGAAGAGAAACAACAGGAAAAGCTGACACAATACGAGGATTTAAAGATTGAACTGCAAAGACTCTGGCACAAACCAGTAAAAGTGGTCCCAGTGGTGATCGGCACACTGGGTGCAGTGTCTAAAGACTTTGGCCTGCACTTAAACACAATTGGCACTGACAAAATTACCATCTGCCAGCTGCAGAAGGCCACCTTACTGGGATCTGCACGCATTATTTGCCAATACATCACACAGTCCTAGACTCTTGGAAAGTGTCCAACATGTGATCCAATACAGCATCTGGAGTTTTGGAGTTGGGTGCCATCTCTACACAGATGACACACAGCTCTACTACTCTTTTCCACCTAATTCCAAGGAAGCCCCTTGAGTGCTGGATGAGTGTCTGGTCACTGTGGCTGTCCGGATGAGGAGGAACAAGCTGAAGATTAATCCCGACAAGACAGAGGTCCTTCTGGTCGATCGTAAACCGGATCGGGGTATAGAGTGGCAACCTGTGTTGGACGGGGTTGCACTCCCCCTGAAGTCACAGGTATGCAGTTTGGGTGTCCTCCTGGACTCATCACTTACGCTTGAGGCTTAGGCGTCGGCGGTGGCTGGGAGGGCCTTTGCACAACTAAGACTCGTGCTCCAACTGCGACCATACCTTGGGAAGGCGGATCTGGCCAAGGTGGTCCACGCCTTAGTCACCTCCAGATTGGACTACTGTAATGCGCTCTATGTGGAGCTGCCCTTGAAAACGGCTCGGAAATTTCAGTTGGTTCAACGGGCGGCAGCCAGGTTGTTAACTGGTGCTCCTTACAGGGAGCGGTCAACCCTCCTGTTTAAGGAGCTCCACTGGCTGCCATTCATTTTCCGGACCCAATTCAAGGTTCAGGTTCTTACCTACAAAGCCCTGAACGGTTTGGGACCTGCCTACCTGCATGACCGCATTTCTGTGTACAAACCCACACGATCTCTTCAATCATCTGGAGAGGCCCTGCTCGCACTCCTGCCTGCATGGCAAGCGCGACTGACTGGGATGAGAGAGGGGGCCTTCTCTGTGGTGGCCCCTCGACTCTGGAACTCACTTCCCAAGGACATCAGGCATGCCCCATCTCTGGCAGTCTTTAGGAGGAGCTTGAAAACGTGGTTATTCCAGTGTGCCTTCCCAGAATAATGAACCCTTAGCACTATGTCCTCTAAAGCACCTTATACTGATTTAGGATTGTTTGTATGTTTCCACTAACACCCCACCTCCCTATCTTGTTCATGCCCAGCATTATTTTAAATTTTAATCATATTCAGCCCAACCATAGATTTTAAATGTGTGTTGTGCTATTGTCAATGTTTATGCTATTTGTGTTTGAGATTTATTTTAATTGCTTTGTATTGTTGTTATTGCTTGTATTGATGTATTGTGGGCTCGGCCTATGTAAGCCGCACTGAGGTCAGGTGTGCAAACTATATTTATTATTATTATTATTATTATTATTATTATTATTATTATTACAGTAGAATGTCTGCTGTGGACTCATCTTGTTGTGTTTCAAATAATAATAATAATAATAATAATAATAATAATAATAATAATAAATATACTCAGTTCTTGTGGGTTTTTTCGGGCTATATGGCCATGTTCTAGAGGCATTTCTCCTGACGTTTCGCCTGCATTTATGGCAGGCATCCATAGAGGTGAGGTCTGACCTCACCTCTGGCCAGACCTCACCTCTGAGGATGCCTGCCATAGATGCAGGCAAAACGTCAGGAGAAATGCCTCTAGAACATGGCCATATAGCCCGAAAAAAACCACAAGAACTGAGTGATTCAGGCCATGAAAGCCTTCAACAATAATAAATATAGTTTGCACACCTGACCTGCATATTGTTTGCACATGGGCATCATTATATTTCATTTAAAACAGGCTTAAATGCAAGGGTGATTATTTGTGTGCAACCCTAACTTCATCAAAAGCTTTCAAAGCACAGCAGAGATCATATAGGCTGAGTTTTCTTAAAATCAATTTAAGACACTGAATTAACCACATGTAACATCGGTGATTAATTTGATCAGTGATCAATGGTACATCATTAAGTGCTCAGGTATTGAGAAAGTATGCCATTCGGGTACTAAGAAGATGGAGAAATGATGATTAATTAAAGGTGGAGCTTAATATGACTAACACAATTAAGGTGGATTCGTAACATGACTTGATGTACTAACCATTAATTATTCTAAATGTGACACATATTAATATTTCCGGGAAGAACTTCAATTTCAATTTCCAGTATGCATGATGATGGGATTTGAATATCAGACAGGTGGCTCCCAGCTTGTTGTGTTTGGTTAAGTGGATTGCAATATTCCCTGCAAGTGTCTGTCAGGCAAATGGCAGCAATCCTGGTTGATGTATCCAAGTGTAAAAGGAAACAAGACGAAAGGGTTTTTAGGTGAAGTAAAGGAATGAGATGTATTGATAGACCACAAGTAATTAAAAAACTTCCTTAGTCTTGACAGCTAGCTCTTGTACTAGTGCAAAGTAAGCCCAAAACATTATGTTGACTGAAGTAAAAGACAAAGAACACACAAGATAAGAGAGGCTGCAACTATTTTCATTTGTCTGAATTTACAATAGTTTAGGAGCCCCTTCAGTTAAACCACTGAGCTGTGGAACTTGCTGACCAAAAGGTCGCCGGTTCAAATCCAGGGAGCAGGGTGAGCTCCCACGGTTAGCCCCAGCTTCTGCCAACCTAGCAGTTTGAAAACATGCAAATGTGAGTAGATCAATAGGTACCGCTTTGGTGGGAAGATAACGGCGCTCCATGCAGTCATGCTGGTCATATGGCCTTGGAGGTGTCTATGGTCAACGCTAGCTCTATGGCTTATTTATTTATATTCTGTGTTTATATTCTGCCCTTCTCACCCCGCAGGGGACTCAGGGTCACAATCAGAGGCGGCCCTAGGTAATTTTCAACGGTAAGCAAACAGTATTTTGGTGCCTCCCCCCCCAACCAATCAGTGATATATATTTTCTGTTCGTTGTGGGAGTTTTGTGTGCCATATTTGGTTCAGTTCCATCATTGGTGGAGTCCAGAATGCTCTTTGATTGTAGGTGAACTATACATCCCAGAAAACTACAACTCGCATATGTCAAGGTCTATTTTCCACCAAGAGCACCTCAAGAGCGCCCCTGGGCAAAATCAACTATACTGCAAATGCTTACTTTGCGTAATGGGTTGAGCCGCCCCTGGTCACAATGCACATATACATGGCAAACATTCAATGCCACAGACACACAACATATATAGACATACACAAAGAGGCTATTTAACTTTCCAGCTTCATGAGGGCATGCCTTGAATTCTGGCCACCGGGGGAGCTGTTGCTTTACCGTCCACTTGCGACACCGATGGAGTACTTCCTCATTCTTTTGCACGCTGCTGAACAGTTTTATGGAGTTGTAAATTAGTTAAATTAGCCTCCCCGCATAAGCGGTACCTAAATTTCCTACTTGACAGAGGCAACTGTCTTTCAGGCTGCAAAGGTCGACAGCAAGCTAGACAAATGTTCGGGAGTTTACTCTGACCCGGGCTGGCTTCGAACTCATGACCTTTCTGTCAGTAGTGATTTTAATGCAGCTGACTCCCAACCAGCTGTGCCACAACCCGGTCCTTAGAAATTGAGATGAGCACCACTCCTCGGAGTTGGAGAAAACTGGAATTAATGTCAGGGGAAAACTTTTACCTTTACCTTACAAGAGTTTATATTGTTACAAGTTTAGAACCAGCAATTCACATTTGTGGGGTTGACTTTTATGGGCTTGGTGTTCTTCATACGTTTTGGTCTATGTGCCTTAGAAGCTTCATTCAGAATGGCCAAAAATCAGAAATGAGACCAGGTATATTCCAAAAATTGGTTCAAAAACAGATGGTTGGGAACAACTTCTCTAAGTTGAAACAGACCTGTAGTCTCGAAGAATAGCAACCTGTTGATACAAGGCTTTGATAGGTGTTTGCATCTGATTTCTCATTAAGCATGTAGATCACACCCATTAGTGTCACCAAAGGCTTATAAATCATTGTGAAAATCAAAGAAAGGTATTGCTGAATGGAGACAGAAGCTTCAGCCCAAGACTTTCTTGGATCAGGTAGGTACTGTCTTCTCACTGAATCTTTCATCTGTGGATTGTTGTAGGTTTTTCGGGCTATGGGGCCATGTTCTAGAAGCTTTCTCTCCGGATGTTTCGCCAGCATCTATGGCAGGCATCCTCAGAGGTCCTCACAACTTCTGAGGATGCCTGCCATAGATGCAGGTGAAATGTCAGGAGAGAATGCTTCTAGAATATGGCCATATAGCTCATGAAAGCCTTCAACAATATATTATCTCTGATCCCTTTGTCATTGGGGTAATTTAGTGAGGGTTTCTCCTTGCTGACTATATCCCACGCATTGAGTGAGAAATACTAACAAAATGAAGTTCAACAGTGACAAATGCAAGATACTCCACTTAGGCAGAAACAACAAAATGCAAAGATACAGAATTGGGGACGAAGATGCCTGGCTCGAGAGCAGTACATGTGAAAAAGATCTTGGAGTCCTTGTGGACAGCAAGTTAAACATGAGCCAACAATGTGATGTGGCGGCAAAAAAAGCCAATGGGATTTTGGCCTGCATCAATAGGAGCCTAGTGTCTAGATCTAGGGAAGTAATGCTACCCCTCTATTCTGCCTTGGTTAGACCACGTCTGGAATATTGTGTCCAATTCTGGGCACCACAATTCAAGAGAGATATTGACAAGCTGGAATGTGTCTAGAGGAGGGCGACGAAAATGATCAAGGGTCTGGAGAACAAGCCCTATGAGGAGCAGCTTAAGGAGCTGGGCATGTTTAGCCTGAAGAAGAGAAGGCTGAGAGATATGACAGCCATGTATAAATATGTGAGAGGAAGCCACAGGGAGGAGGGAGTAAGCTTGTTTTCTGCTTCCCTGGAGACCAGGACGCAGAACAATGGCTTCAAACTACAAGAAAGGAGATTCCATCTGAACATGAGGAAGAACTTCCTGAGTGTGAGAGCTGTTCAGCAGTGGGACTCTCTGCCCCAGAGTGTGGTGGAGGCTCCTTCTTTGGAGGCTTTTTAAACAGAGGCTGGATGGCCATCTGTCAGGGGTGATTTGAATGCAATATTCCTGCTTCTTGGCAGGGGGTTGGACTAGATGGCCCATGAGGTCTCTTCCAACTCTTTGATTCTATGATTCTATGATCCTATGTCTCCCTGATATCAAGGGATTTCCACTCCTTATTGTGGGGCAAACTGGGTTCAACTGGTTTATCTTTAACCATGAGCACAATTTTCTTAGTTTCTGTACAATTTTTACATTGGCTTCATCACTCTTTACCCACTCCATAAACATCAATTTATCTTTTATTTCTCTTAGCCTATCCTCCTACATAATTAAACATGCTGTAATGTCAGATTGAACCTGAATGTAAAGGTAATTATTCCAATTTTCTACAGTCAAATTTTTCAAACCTCCTTTCCTGTCCTACTAAAATCAGGCTATTAAACTATTCTTGTTCTTATATGTTAATCCTGTTGTTGCCTAATATTCCCATTAGCATCAAATCTATATTCACTTGAAATGATATTTGTTGGAGCATGTAAGAAATCAGTTAATATGTGCGTGTCAACTGTAAAATAAGATATATATGAAGCTGATTGGTCAGGCTACACACGGGGTGATAGCTGAGCCTGAAACTTTTGGGTACTGTTACATTTTTGTTCAGGCTTGAGCTATGCAAGTATAGAGAGAGACAGCTTGAAGAGAGAAGCAGAGAGAGGTAGCGTTTGGAGTGTGCTCTTGCTTCAGAGCTGCTGGGAAATATTGCACACAACAAACACAAATAAATCTTAATTTTTTGCATGTTTAGTGTTCAGCTCATCAGGAATGGTATCTTCTTTTATATTTCTCCTTTAACAATAGTGGATGGAGCAAGAGCAATTTATATTGTGAAAACCTGTCTTTGAGAAAGAATGGAGATGATTGTGAAAATGAAGCCCAAGAAAAGTGTCGCCGAGGAAATGGAAGATCTATTTCATGAATTTTCAGGTGAAAAACAACTTTTAAAAAGTTTCCTATTTGTTGCTCTATATAGCTTTCCAAATTGCATCTTAAGAAAAAGAAGGAAAAATTCTTACATTGCCAGATACCAGTATCAGGATTCATGATTCCAGCCTAGCTTACCTTTCCAAATATCTCCTCCTATGAACCATCTAGGAGCTTAAGATCATCTGGGGCGGCTCTACTCTCTATCCCGCCTGCCTCGCAAGTGCGATCGGCAGACACGTAGGAAAGGGCCTTCTCAGTGGTGGCCCCCCGGCCACTTCCCAAGGATATTAGATCGGCCCCCTCCCTCCTGACTAAATACCATCATCCATTGTCTGTCCTCCCCCAAACCTCACCAGGATGTAAAGGGGGTCATGGGGGTTATGTGTGCTAAGTTTGGTCTTGATCAGTCATTAGATTATAGGATGCAGCGGTCTCGGGAAGTGAGTTGAGGTACTTCAAGTCCCATCATCCATGGTCCACCCTCCTCCAAACTGCAATAAGATGTAGAGTGGGTCATGGGGGCTCTGTGTACCAAGTCTGGTCTTTATCGGTCTTTGTTGTGGACCACAGTGGTCTGTGGGAACCAAAGGGTTTGGAAGTACTACAAATCCCATCATCTGCTATCAAACCCCCAAACCTCACCAGGATGTAAAAGGGGTCATGGGGGTTATGTGTGCCAAGTTTGGTCCAGATCCATCACCCGTCCAGATTGCAGTGGCCTGTGAAAGTGGCAGCCAATTGGAAAGCTGTCACATACAAACATACATACAAACATTCACTTTTATTATATATATAGATAATTCAAATTTCTTTGGGTGCCCCTACAGTTTTCCCTCTTTTGTTTATTAATAAAGCGTTAACCTGAATCTAGAAACAGGAGATCTAAACAATTTTGTCTAAGCAAACCTCTATAAGGGATGTGGGGCCATTGTGTTATTTGGATTGGCATTGCCTCTCGCCTGACAGTAGTTTCCTGCCAAACGAGTTTATGGTAATTGATTAGATTAATCCTCCCAGGAATATTTGAGCCTGCTCTTGGGGGGGGGGGGGCAACCCAGCTACGATCTGTAAAAATATGTTATAAATTTATAGTTATTATATTATTAGAGGAGAGAGGTCAATTTTTCAATAACAGTGATAATTTCAAGCAAAATGAAATCTAGCTCCAACTGAGAAGTATGGTTAAACATGATCCAATTCTCTGTAAAAATGTTTTGCCCCCTCTCCTCCATGTATTATTTTTACATACTAATACTAATCCATAAATACAACAGGAACACCTAGAGAACAGGAAAAACCCTGGTATTTCCAAATTTGGGATCTTTGCCAGAAATACCTTTTCCTGTTGAACAACAAGGAGGTGGCAGCTCCTAAAGATTCCAGCTCATCAGGTAACATCTCCTATATTGTATTCACTTTATCAATGCGCTCCCTCACATTCTGGAACTGGGGAACAAGAGTCCTATTCTAGCATTTACAAAAAAGAATAGCATGAGGGAGGCAGGGGCGGTGGTGGTGAATGAACTGATTAGCTTCACTCCCTCTGCTATGGCACCCCCTCCACTTGGTTTGGCATCTTGATTGGGGTGGGGAGGAGAAAGACATGACGCAATTGTTCTGCATAATGAGGAGATTGTTGTTGGAGTGGAAATGTTAGATGTTCTCCCCTTTCTTCCCATTACTGAGATCACTTCTTTTCTTTTGTCATTTATAAAAACATCCACTTCCTGGGAGTCTAGACACAAGAAAGCTGGCTTTAGAGACTTTACGTCTCTACATTCCACCTCGTAATTTAAGATCTACTGGGAAGGCCCTGCTCTCGGTCCCACCAGCGTCTCAAACGCGTCTGGTGGGGACGAGGGACAGGGCCTTCTTGGTGGTGACCCCCCGCTTATGGAATTCGCTCCCCAGCAAGATTAGATTGACGTCCTCCCTCCTTACTTTTAGGAAAAAACTAAAGACGTGGTTTTGGAGCCAGGCCTTTGGCTAGTGGGCACAGCAGCACTTTAGGCACTGAACTCGGACAATAGGATTGTTTGAAAATTGAAAATGGCTTTATGACCTGTGATTATGTGATTTGTTCTATGTGACTATGTAATTTTAATTAATATCACTGTTTAATTGTTATGTAATGGATTTTATATTGCTGTTTTATATTGTTGTTTTGATACTGTTGGCATTGAATTGTTGCCTGTGTTAGCCGCCCTGAGTCCCCCCTCGGAGGTGAGAAGGGCGGGGTAGAAATGGTCTAAATAAATAAAATAAATTAAAATAAAATAAAGAAAATTTTGTTACCAAATTTATAGATTGGATTTATTCCTTTTTTTAGCCATAAACTTACATCAGTGGTGAACTGTGTATGATGACAGAGGAACGGCAAGACTACTCAACATTTTCTGTGCCTCAGTCTTCTCTCAAATAATAAATAGTGCTCACCTTGGGGACAATGGCACCCAAGAGCCAGTAGGGGAAATGCAGCACAGAATAGGTAAAGAGACAGTGCAGGAATATCTGTTCTTTCTACCATACTGGCCCCATGACATCTTCTTTGGGACACAGAGTAAGGGATTTTAATTGCGTGTGCAAGTGCGATACACCTCCCACAGCCAACCCAAGAAGTACGCTCACACATGTTGTTGGGATGAACAATGGCCACAACTTGTTTATTGATAACAGGTACAAGGGTTGGCAGCCAAGCATGGGTCCTGGATCATGATCGGCCAGCCCAATACTGGCCCACACACACCAGGGTGCTGCCGGCACAATACCGGGCAAACGCAACTCGGCACCCTAGGGACCACTGGGTGTCCCCCCTTTCCCCTAGGGGGGATACCTGTTGCATCCCAGTTCAAGAAACGAGACCATAAGATTAAATCCACCACACTTGACTGTAGGAAAAGCAATCCTTGTTTATTGATGAAAAATTGGTTACAAAAGAAAGGTAAATGCAAAGTCAAAAAGCCACAGAAAAACACAGCAGTCAGTAGAATCTCTGAACTTGAGCAAAATTTCAAAAGCCACAATACAAGAACCAGGAACCTGTTAGTCTTTTATTAACCATGAATTTGATAACTAAGCCTCTGGGATTACCGGCCATGAAACACAGGAATTCTGCCAACGCACAGCCACAGTCCCAAATGTTGCTTGATCTAAAGAGGCACCCGGCAGGAGGCCTTTTAAATCAAAGAAGCTATTCTTTGAAACGCCCCTTGACTTTGAAGTTTGGGCCTGTCTCTCCTGTAAGCGATGTGACCTTCGTAGAAACTGGGAAACATTTCTGTCTCTAACTATCTGTTCTCTTCGGTCCTCATTAAAAACCCCAGGTGGAGAGATATCACGGCTAGTGATATCACAGCTAGCTTCCAAAACATTTTCCTCCAGCTGTTGAGTTTCGTTTTCATCGCCACTGACCTCTGCATCAAAAACAGATTCCACACTGTCAGGGTCAGGGAGAGCTTGCTCATTTGGAAAAACTACCAGAGAATCCTGTTCACACAGATCAGGATCAGGTTGAACCCCAACACTATCCCCCCCCCAAGTCCCCCGCTCGGCCCGCCCCGAGGCCGGGGTTTCGCAGGGTAATCTCGATGAAAGCGAGCAACAAGGTCAGGAGCATGTAAATCACAATCATCAACCCAGGATCTCTCCTCAGGCCCATACCCAGTCCAGTCCACCAGATATTGCAATCTGCGGCGTCGGAAACGGGAATCTAAAATGTCTTGGACCTCAAACTCCTCTTCCCCCTCTCGAAGGACCGGGGGAGGTGGCGGTCCCTTCCCCGGATCGGGGCGCATCTCATCCGCCGGTCAGAGCAAAGACGCATGTCCCGGTGAAGTTGTAACTTGAATGTCACAGGGTTGATCTGAGCCACCACACGATAGGGACCCACAAACCGAGCATCAAGCTTCTGGCAAGGCCTTTGAAGGGGGAGATGTTTGGTAGACAGCCACACCCGTCCACCTACCTGAATCTCTGGCCCTTCCTGCCGGTGTTGATCCACAACGCGTTTGTAATCCAATTTGGCTTGGTCTAACTGTGTCTTTAGAACTTCTTGCACCGCAGTTAACTCCTGAAGCCAATCCTCTGCAGCAGGAACGTTCCCCGCCTCTATTACCTTCGGGTAAAAGCGGGGGTGGAAACCGTAATTGGCAAAGAAAGGAGCTTCTTGGGTGGAACTCTGGGTCGCGTTGTTATAGGAGAACTCCGCCAACGAAAGCAAGGATGACCAATAGTCCTGTTGGTAATTGATGTAGCATCGTAAATATTGTTCCAGAGTAGCATTGGTCCTCTCTGTTTGGCCATCCGTCTGGGGGTGATGCGCAGTCGACATCCGGGCGTCAATGCCCAACAGCTGTTGAACAGCCTTCCAAAACTGAGAGGTAAATTGTGCTCCTCGGTCGGTAACAAGACTCTTAGGCAACCCGTGCAGGCGGAAAACATGGTGTAGAAACAGATCTGCTGTCTCTCTCACTGATGGCAAGCCAGCACAAGGGATGAAATGTGCCATCTTGGTGAATAAGTCCACTACCACTAGGATCGTGGTATTTCCATTGGATTTTGGAAAATCCGTAATGAAGATGATTTCCCACGGTCTGGTGGGGGTGGGCATTGGTTGCAGCAAACCGGCTGGTTTGCCCACTTGATGCTTTGCTCGTTGACATACTGGACAGGTAGCCACATATTTCTCAACGTCCCGACGTATCTTTGGCCACCAGAAGTCTCGCAAAATCAGTTGTAGAGTCTTGAATAGGCCAAAGTGTCCTGCTGGACGACTGTCATGACATAGCTTAAGAATCTCTTCCCTCTCAGGTCCCAAGGATACATATACCTGAGAGCAGCAACAGAGAAGTCCTTCTTTGACATGAAATGGAAACTGTACTCCCCGTACCAGTTGTTCCTGAACCCACAAATCTTGATCTTGACGGGTTCGAATGTGTTCCGGTAGGGAAGCTGCATCTGGACTCCAAGTCCCCGTCGTCCTTGAATCCGTAGGGCCTGCTTGATTGTCCTTCTCGGCCACAGTGGTGAATGCAAAGTTCTCGGGACGCAACATGGGCGACTCCGAAGTTTCCTCCCGACCTCTTGTATATTCCGGTTTTCTCGACAAAGCATCCGCTTGCTTCGTTTGCGTCGGAGTTACATAACGGATCCGGAAGTGGAAACGTTCGAAAAAGAGTGCCCAACGCTGCTGTCGTTGATTGAGTTTCCGTGCCGTCTTGAGGTGTTCAAGATTACGATGATCCGTGTGTACTTCCACGGGGTGACGTGCCCCTTCCAGCCAATGCCTCCAGTTCTCAAACGCCATCTTGATGGCCAATAATTCTTTTCCCCAAATGGTATAATTCTTCTCCGGCGTGGTTAGTTGTCTGGAATAGTATTTGCAGGGCATCAGATCTTCTCCTACTGGCTGCAGTAACACAGCCCCAATGGCCACATCTGAAGCATCCGCTTGGACCACAAATGGCGTCTGAGGGTCCGGATGTTGGAGGATCTGTTGAGAGGTGAACAGTTGTTTCAACTTCTGGAACCCGACCTCTGCTGCCTTCGTCCACTGAAACGGGGTTTTTCCCCGCAGGCACTGGGTGATCGGGTCCGCCCAAAGAGCAAAATCAGGGATAAACTTCCGGTAGTAATTGGCAAAACCCATGAATCTTTGAATGTCCTTTTTAGTAGTAGGAGCCTTCCATCCTACCACTGCCTCGGCTTTGGCAAGGTCCATGGCAATGCCCTGAGGTGAGATTCGACAACCTAAAAAGTCCACTTTGGTCAGGTCAAAAGCACATTTCTCCAACTTGGCATATAATCCATGGTTGCGCAACCGCTGTAGCACAGCCCGCACATGTTGATTGTGAAGTTGTTGATTTGGGGAGAAAATCAAAAAATCGTCGAAATAGACCACTAGGAATCGGTCTAAAAAGTCACGGAATACGTCGTTCACGAAGTGCTGGAACGTTGCAGGAGCATTACAGAGCCCGAATGGCATCACGAGGAATTCATAGGATCCTAGATGTGTCTGGAACGCGGTCTTCCACTCGTCACCCTCCCGAATCCGGACCAAGTTGTAAGCTCCCTGGAGGTCGAGCTTGGTGTAGACTTGTGCCCCACGCAGTCTATCCAACAACTCAGGGATAAGCGGGAGCGGGTAACGGTTTCGGATGGTAATCTCGTTCAGTGCCCGGTAGTCATTACACAAGCGCAGCTCCCCTGATTTTTTCTTGACAAACAAAATGGGAGCTCCGTCTGGAGATTGCGAGGGCCAGATGAACCCCTTCCGCAAATTAGAATCCAAAAAATCCCAGAGAGCCGCCATCTCTGGCTCCGAGAGAGAGTACAACCGGCCCCGAGGGATGGGGGCCCCAGGCATCAAGTCGATGGTGCAGTTATACGGCCTATGTGGCAGTAACTTCTCAGTTTCTTTCTCACTGAACACATCCCAAAAGTCTGAATATTTTTTTGGCAGAGTAAGAAGAATAACACCCCAGTTTGAGGCTCAGAGGGAGAAGCATCGACCGAGCCGGCGAGCCTATCTAAGCCCGGTCGAAGTCTTCCTCCGCCAGTTGTGGAGGAATCACCTCCCGCTCCAGCAACTCCATGGATGCCAATGCCGCCCTCTGCACCGGCCTCCTCTTTGCTGGACACTCCCGTGAAAAATGCCCTGCTGCCCCGCAGTACCAGCATAGGTTCAACCGCTGGCGCCTGGCTTTCTCTGCGGCATCAATCTTGGGACGGATATGTCCCAACTGCATCGGCTCCTCTTCATCCAGGCTTACCATGGGCAGAACTGGCCGGCCGAGTGCCCTAAGTCCAGGGGTTGGGACACCCTTTGGGACCGGCCGTTCAGACGCCCCACGGCTCCACTGCCGCCTCATGTGCAGGTTACCCTCCAGCTGAAGACTCAGAGTGATAAGCCCATCCAGGGTGGTGGGAAGGTCTGCCCACGTAAAGCTGCATCATTCCAGCCCACTTGAGGGGCCAAAGCCTTGAATTCCGCAATGTAATGAGCCAAAGACTTGTCTCTTTGTTGCAGTCTACGCATCTTGCGATCCGCCAACTTCTGGGTCACCTGGCCACCCCAAGTGCGCTGAAGGTAATCCACTTCAGGAGCGTTGGCATCCAGGAGAGTGGCAGCCCAAAGAGCCGCAGGTCCTTCCAAAAGGCTGAAAATAAAAGCTACTTTGTTTTCCTCTGTGGGGAATTCAGCCTCCCTGGCTGCCAAAAAGGAAATACATTGTCTTTTGAAAACTCGAACCGCAGAGGCCTCCCCCTTAAACTTGGCTGGCAGAGCTAACGTTGGATGGCACCCAGCCCTGGCTCTGAGATCAGTCAGCTCCTGTTGTTGGGTGGTGTATAGAGCCTGCAATGCTTGAAAGTCTGCGAGGGTGGGGGCCTGAGCTGGTGCTGCAGGATTGGACATCTTTTAAAAAAATCCTTGGCTCAGCAAGGGAAAAAACAACCCCAAAAACCACAAAACTTCAGCAAAAAGTAATCAGGCTAAAAATCAAATGGATTTTTTGAAATCAAGCAAACTGTTGCATCCCAGTTCAAGAAACAAGACCATAAGATTAAATCCACCACACTGGACTGTAGGAAAAGCAATCCTTGTTTATTGATGAAAAATTGGTTACAAAAGAAAGGTAAATGCAAAGTCAAAAAGCCACAGAAAAACACAGCAGTCAGTAGAATCTCTGAACTTGAGCAAAATTTCAAAAGCCACAATACAAGAACCAGGAAACTGTTAGTCTTTTACTAACCATGAACTTGATAACTAAGCCTCTGGGATTACCGGCCATGAAACACAGGAATTCTGCCAACGCACAGCCACAGTCCCAAACATTGCTTGATCTAAAGAGGCACCCAGCAGGAGGCCTCTTAAACCAAAGAAGCTATTCTTTGAAACGCCCCTTGGCTTTGAAGTCTGGGCCTGTCCCTCCTGTAAGCGATGTGACCTTCGTAGAAACTGGGAAACATTTCTGTCTCTAACTATCTGTTCTCTTCGGTCCTCATTAAAAACCCCAGGTGGAGAGATATCACGGCTAGTGATATCGTGGCTAGCTTCCAAAACATTTTTTTGAAATAATTTGTATTGATTTATCATAGAATCATAGAATCATAGAATCATAGAATCAAAGAGTTGGAAGAGACCTCATGGGCCATCCAGTCCAACCCCCTGCCAAGAAGCAGGAATATTGCATTCAAATCACCCCTGACAGATGGCCATCCAGCCTCTGTTTAAAAGCTTCCAAAGAAGGAGCCTCCACCACACTCCGGGGCAGAGAGTTCCACTGCTGAACGGCTCTCACAGTCAGGAAGTTCTTCCTACTGTTCAGATGGAATCTCCTCTCTTGTAGTTTGAAGCCATTGTTCCGCGTCCTAGTCTCCAAGGAAGCAGAAAACAAGCTTGCTCCCTCCTCCCTGTGGCTTCCTCTCACATATTTATACATTGCTATCATATCTCCTCTCAGCCTTCTCTTCTTCAGGCTAAACATGCCCAGTTCCCTAAGCCGCTCCTCATAGGGCTTGTTCTCCAGACCCTTGATCATTTTAGTCGCCCTCCTCTGGACACATTCCAGCTTGTCAATATCTCTCTTGAATTGTTGTGCCCAGAATTGGACACAATATTCCAGATGTGGTCTAACCAAAGCAGAATAGAGTTAACAGGTAACTGTTAACAGGTAACCAGGACAAGGAAAACAACAACACAAGTTAACCGCCAATGAAAACATAAACCACATGCAGGGTGGGTGGGATGGATCAGCTGTTGCAGGCCCAGTGCCTGCTGGGGAGCCTGGGGCAGCCTTATAAAGGCTGCCCACAAAGAGGGAGAGGCCAGCTTAGGCCTCTCCTGCTGCGAGGCGTGGTCAGCTGGCCATTGGCCAAGTGACCTGCCGGCGGGAAAACTTCCCACCATCCGAGAGGGCTTCTGGGAGAAAGAAGCCCCCCCCCCCGAGGCAAGAATGGCGGTGGGGGACACCCTACACCACAACTTCTTTGGCCCGGTAAGTTGGGCCATGCCTTTTACAGGCACTGAAATCCCACCTAAGCAATAGGATAAACTTCCTGATAGTTGCAGCTGTTCAACAGTGAAATATTCTCCCTTGGAGTGTAGTAGAGTCTCTTTGTCTCGGGGTTTTTCAGCAGAGGGTGGATATTCCTCTGTCAGGAGTGCTTCGAATGTATGTTCCTGCATGGAAGAAGGGTGGCTGGGTGGCTTTTGTGATCTCTTCCAACTCTACGATTCTAAAATTTCACTCTCTTCCTCCATTGAGTTAAAGAGTGAATGCTGGGATATTTTAAAAGCAGCCGAGAAAGTTGATTCTCCCTAGCAAACTGAAGCAGTTGGAGGATATGATTTTATTTCTTGCCTTTTGTTTCTCTCTAGAGGAAGTACTAACTTTGGTTCCCAACAAAGGTTTTGAGAGCAATAGTAAAAATATATACCCTATTTTTATGGGCCTCCAAGATGGGAAACGCATCTTGTCCTGTGTCAAATCTGGTGCTCAGCCTCAGATAACAATAATGGTAAGTTGTTTTCGTGATTGGAAGACTAAGAGATTATCTGTTTGTTTGACTTCCAGCAACTCTTGGTTATACTTGGTTATAGTCAAACTTGGCCATGATGGTCCTCAACTCTTGTTACATCTAGGATAGACTACTGCAACCCACTGGCTGGTGTAACATGCAGTTGTATGCTCCCTGTATGCCGGCACGGTTTTTCAGCAGAGGGTGGATATTCCTCTGTCAGGAATGCTTCGAATGTATGTTCCTGCATGGAAGAAGGGTGGCTGGGTGATTTTGTGGTCTCCTTCAACTCTACGATTCTAAAATTTCACTCTCTTCCTCCATTGAGTTAAAGAGTGAAAGCTGGGATATTTTAAAAGCAGCTGTGAAAGTTTATTCTCCACTGGCTGCCAGTTTGCTACCGGGCACAATTCAAAGTGCTGGCTTTGGCCTATAAAGCCCTAAATGGCCCTGGCCCAAATTACCTGTCCGAACGCATCTCTCCCAATGAACCACCATGGAGATTAAGATCCTCCGGGGAGGCCCTGCTTTCCATCCCGCCATTGTCACAGGCACGATTGGTGGGGACGAGAGACAGGGCCTTCTCGGTGATTGCTCCCTGGCTATGGAACTCCCTTCCTGGTGAGATCAGGTCAGGCCCCTCTCTCCTGTCCTTTAGAAGGATGGTAAAAACTTAGCTGTGGGACCAAGCTTTCGGAACAGAGCAATAAAGCAGCAATAGGAAAGATTACCAGGTCAATTAGATTTGACATGGATGACTAGGATGGTTTTAAATGGTGTATTTTAATATTTTGATAAATGTTTTTAATTTTTATGTATGTGTATAAAATTTGTGTATTGAACTGCTTTTTCTGTTGATTTGTTGTAACACATGATTTTTGGTGCTTATTTAGGAAAATCATAATGGAATTTCTCAAGAGTGAAATATTCAAGGTGCAATTGCAAACTGTGCCAACAAAGAGAAAAAATAGGACAAGTGCAAAGAAGCCAGAATGGATGTCCAAAGAACTTCTAACTGTGCTAAAACACAAAAGAGACATGCACAAGAAGTGGAAAAAGGGAGAAATCACCAAAGAAGAATTCAAACAAATAGTCAACACCTGTAGGGATAAGGTCCGCAAGGCTAAAGCACAAAACGGGTTCATGCTTGCCAGGGACATTAAAAACAATAAAAAGGGCTTCTTTTCTTATATCAGTAGAAAATGGAAAAACAAGGAGGCAATAGGGCCTCTTCGAGGAGAAGATGGGGCAATGCTGACGGGGTAGGGAAAAGGCAGAACTACTTAATGCCTTCTTTGCCTCGGTCTTCTCACAAAAAGAAAGTCATCTTCAACCTCAGCAAGATGGAGTGGATGAGGGATTAGATCCAACCCCAAATTGGATGAGGGATCCAACCCCAAATTGGAAAACAAGTCGTCCAGGACTTCCGGTTGGGCTACCGAGGAGAGCAGACGCACTTGAGGGGAGCTCCGCATGACAACAGTAAGACAACTTAAACAGACCTAAATGCCTTTCCTTTCAACAAAATAATTTGAATGCTGGACTAGACTAAACACACTGTGTTGCTGATAAGCTAATAAACCCGGTGGCAACAACATGAGGAGAAAGAAACGCTTGAGAGAAGCAGAAAATAATACTCCCCCGTCAGCTCCCACACCCAAACAAAAGAGAATCTCTGACTTCTGTTCAAACCGCTTCTTGGCTCTTGCAGAAAGAGAAATTGGGGAACATGGAGAAAATGAGAGTCTGAAAGAGCACAAAGGAAGTGCTGCTAAAAACCCAGATTTGCCAAACAACAATAGTAACAAGCATAGCAGCAAAGAAGACAAAAGTGTTCAAACATCTGAGCTAGTGGGTGAGCCAAGCTACTCTCACATGCTCCAACTGGTTGCTACCACTGTTGAGCATTTATACAACAAACTTAGAAATCTCAACCTCAAAGTTGACTCCATTATCACAACCCAGAAAGAAAGAAAGCAACTGAGACAGACCACTTGTGATTCAGCCTCAAAAAAACCTAACTGCAAAGAGCCTAATTTGCATTTACATAAGATAGCAAACTCCTCAAAACTGGTACTTTCACCTAAAAAAGTCTGCTTAACAGTTTGCCACTACAGAGGAATGCTTCCCCCCTGGAACAACATCTACCACTCTAGAAGACATCTGCAACATTTGCTGAAAAGAGAAGTGAAACAAATCGATCTCCACTCTGTAGAAACACTGAGCTCTGACTACCATCATACAAGGGTGCTACTAAGCTTCTCCTCAGAACATATACCTTCACTACTGCTGCGCTTAAGATCTAATCTTGCAGCAAAAGGCCTCTTTCCAAGCCGAGTGTTTCTCAATAACAGGATTGTTCCCCTCATCTCCAGAGTCAAACACTCTCAGCAGAGCACAGGGAGCTTAAAGGGATACACTCCTGAGATGCAGGCCCTACATTTGGAAAAACCCTCTAAGGACTACTCTATGGATATTGAAACCCATGATCCTGAAACTGCAGATCTAATTACCCTGGACTACGAGACCCCAGGGAACTGTGTTGAGCTGTCCAACCCCAGTGCCAATTCTCCACCTAGAATCTTTACAACAGCATCAATCGAAGCCCCAACCAAACCCCATTCCATTAGTGTTGTCACTAATGCACCTTCCAAATCCACTACCTGCCTAATCGAGGTAAGCCTGGAAACGGGTCCTGCCAACAACATACTGATGCTGAATAAGGAGGAGAATGAGGCCGCTACCTTGACTCCAGTACAGTGCCTGGTACCAGAACTGCCAACGCTAAAACAGAACAAACCTATTACGGAAGAACAGCTTCATCGACAACACTCCGAAAAGAAAAGAGACCCCTACAACAACTGTGTGTTCACTGGGGACATTGGTGGCATCGCACAAGTTGCAGATATAAATTGACTATCAGAACCTCCACCGCTTACACCATCAGGCAAGAATAAACTCAGCATTCTGACATGGAATATTGCAGGATGGAAGTCCTCCATAAAAGATCCCTCTTTCCCAGACTACCTAGCCCAGCACCATATCATATTAATGCAGGAAACCTGGGCAGTAGATTATATATCAAGTAATGGATTCCAAGCCTACTCAACAAAGGCAGAACCCCCAAATAGATATGGGGGAGCCAAAGGAGGTTTAACAATCCTAATCTCCAACAAGCTATGGGTAAAGGTAACATCTCTTCTCCCGCTAATGTCAAATGCCATGGCCATCTTAATCCAACTTACTAACCATAAAGTGCTGATAATAAATGCCTACATACCCCCTATGAGGAAAAAAGCCCAAGTTAAAGCTGCATGGATGAAGCTAGAATCCTACGTTGAGGATCTTATGATGCAGAATCCTGATGCATCTATAGTGTTGGGAGGCGATCTTAACACAAGGATGGGCCCAGATGACCTCTCTCTCTATAAGCAGCAGAACTGCCCACCACCAACCTGTGAGGATGAAGAACCCCTTCTGCCCCGTTGGTCCAAAGACCAGAAATCGAATTTTGCAGGCCTATGCTTAGCCAGAACAACATATAGGCTAAATCTTCACATCTTAAATGGGGCACTGAAAAGAGATTATCCAGGTGAATTCACCTTCCTCTCAGGTGAAAAAACTAGCACTATTGACTATATAGCAATCTCTAGGGATTTTATCCCCTATGCTAAAACTCTTAAAGTTATGTCTAAACCTGAGAGTGATCATTTTCCAGTTCTGCTTCAATTACATCTTCCCCCCCAGGAAATCCATTTAACGGAATCCTATAAATCTTCGATACAGCCTACAGAAGGATCCTATAAGCAAGCCAAGTGGACCCCACACATGAATCAAAGAATAACAGACCTGCTGGTGACAGAGCGGCTTACGAGCCTCCGCACTTCTCTGATCTCTGCAGAAACTCCCAATGTACTCATGGAAACCTACAGAAACATTGTCCAAGAGCTCCAAATTCAGTTACGCCAGGGCAATAATACAGAGGGGACACAGCTACTTCAGCAACCATATCAACAATCACAAACATGGTTTGATAAGGAATGTCTCTCTGCTAAAAAAGCCCTCTCCACTGTTTATCAGAGCGATAAACTCAATCCTACCCCAACAGCTGCACAAGATCTCCTGCTGCAAAAGAGACAATACAAACAACTACTAACCCGCAAGAAGAGAGAGGCTATGAAAAACAACTGGGATCGGCTCATACAAGCTGTTAAGGCAAAGGACACAACCACCTTCTGGCGCATTACATCTAACATACGAAGCTGGGACCAAACTGCAGTTGACTCCCAAATCCTGCCAGCAAGATGGGAAGTATACTTTCAAGAGCTATACAGGGACACCTATTCAGACAATGCGGGCACAAACTCTTGCTCTAATACATCAATGGAAAACCTCCCTACCTGGCCACCTGTGATCACCGCAGAAATAGAGAGACTAGTAGCCCAACTAAAAGCGGGAAAGGCACCAGGAGAGGATGCAATCCCACCCGAGGTCATTAAGAACAATTTGGATTTCTGGGCCCCTATCCTAGCATCTTTATTTACCTGTATTGATAAATATGGCCAAATTCCTAAGGATTGGGGGTTGGCAATTATTGTACCAATATACAAAAGAAAAGGCAGGCAGGACGATCCAGCAAACTACAGGCCCATTAGCCTCCTTAATACCATTAGTAAAATATACACAAGGCATCTGTATTGGAAATTGTTGGACTGGATGGAACAAGAAAACATACTTGCGGAGGAGCAAGCCGGCTTCAGGGAAGGTCGGTCCACCATTGACCAGTGCATAGTTTTACAGCATCTTATAGAAAAATATACTTCCCAGAGAACATCTTCCCTCTATGCTGCATTCATAGACTTTAGAGCAGCTTTTGACTCTATCTCTCGTATCAAATTATGGGAAAAACTTGGGTCCACCTCAATAGATAGACGACTATTGCAATTAATTCGCATACTACATGAAGGGACCATATTGAAAATAAGATGTACCCCTCAAGGTCATCTCACTAGGGCCGTTGAAACTGAGAAAGGTGTCAAGCAGGGATGTACTTTGGCTCCACTTCTATTTAACCTTTATATCAACTCCATGGTGGAGCACCTTTACAACTTAGACTACCACCCGCCAAAACTGGCAGGAAGACACGTGTCTACCCTGCTTTATGCAGACGATGCAGTGATACTATCCAGAACTCAAGTAGGCCTGAAAAGAGCCTTGAGAGCCTTAACAAAATATTGTAATGAAGAACAGCTTCATCTTAATTATAAAAAAACCAAAATTATGGTGTTTGCGAAACGACCCAAGCATCATACCTGGAGACTAGATGGACACAATATTGAACAGGTCTCCAGCTTTAAATACCTGGGAGTATCCTATCACTGCACTGGAAACAAGAAAGTACATGTGGATTACGTAGCAGAGGCAGCACAAAAGAGCTCATATGCTATCCTAAAGTTCCTCAAAACGGGAGGAGGCCACTACATACCAGCTGCACTTAAGCTCTTTGAGGCAAAATCCATAGCACAAATGATGTATGAAGCCCAACTTGGTCCCTTCACAAACTATGCCCCTCTGGAGCAAGTACAATCAAAATTTCTAAGATCAGTGATGCAGGTCCCCAGATGTGTCTCAAACGCCACCCTGCAATTAGAGACAGGCCTTGTGAGAGTGGAGGCGAGAGTGTGGACAGCCACCCTCAATTATTGGCTGCATCTGTCTTTCTCAACATGTGGCCTTGCTCCATTAACCCTGAGAGATTAATTTCAGTCTACATGGAATAAGGCGGTGGCAATCAAAATCGCAACTCTAGGCTTCTCTCAAGGACAACTGCTAGGTATGGGATGGGACCAAGCCAAGGCTCTTATTAGACAATGGATCCTGGATATAGAGCGACAATCAGACTTAGCCTCCTCTCCAGCATTCACCATTAGGGAAGATAGCAGATATCTCATCGCTCCCATGCCTTACGTAGCTAACCTGGAGGTGCCTAAACACTGAAGAGCTTTCACTTTGGCCATGCCCTCCCATTGGCAGTACTGGAGGGGAGGTACCAGAAGACCCCTGCCCAGGAGAGACTATGCCCATGTGAGTCTGGCTACATCGAAACAACTGAACATGTGCTCCTCCAATGTGTGTTCTATAGAGACATTAGAGCTAATTTCATCACTCCATGGCTTTTAAAACATCCAGGGCGCACTGAAAGATATTACACCTCCCTGTTGCTCTCGGACTCTTGCTCTGCGACAACCTACAGTGTTGCCAAGTTCTGTGCAGCAGCAATTAACATTAGACGGCTGATGACAGACTCCACCAGGCAACTTCCTGCCGGGAATATAGTTAGAATGATTTGTAATAACTGAAATGCTGTAAATGCTCCCCTCTCATCCCTTTTATAGCTTCCCAGTCGTCTGATATTTGTTATTAGCCGCCCCCTATTTTAGATTCATACATGCACTTTAAACTGTAAGTTTAGTCTGTTTTATCTTTTTAATTTGTCTCTTTTATAACCTGTTTTTAATCTGCTTTTAATCTGCTTTTATACTTATCTACTTGGGAACTATACCTACTTTTATACCTACTATCTACTTGGGAACTGCGATTCCCTTCCTTGGGCACCGATGCCCCATTCTGTACTGTGCTGGTCAAAGACTGTAATAAATCATTGATTGATTGATTGATTGAAGTCGTCCAGGAATACCTGGCCGCTCTAAATGAGTTCAAGTCCCCAGGGCCAGATCAATCCTCTTGGGCAGCAAGACTTACAACTCCCACAAGTCCTTTGCATAAGTCTTAATGTGTGGTATTAAATGGAGTCCCTCCTTGACTCAGACCCAAATCTCATAGTAGCTCCTGGACATCATAGGGGCAATTTGCCATCCATCCACCTCCCCATGAGACAAAAGTTCTTGGTGTTCTCTGGCAAAAAACTACTATTGTGACCCCAATTTCTTTCTCTTTATGTTTATGTGAATGGGTATTGGTCAAGGCATTCATTGGTAATACACCAAACATTTATTGACCACAATTTCATGTTTGCATTTCAGGAGGAAGATATCATGAAACTGTATGAAAAAAAGAGCCACTCAAGAATTTCACCTTCTTGAATCACACTGAAGTCAACCAGCCAACTTGTACTTTTGAATCTGCAGCTTTTCCAGGTTGGTTCATAAGTATGTCCACTGAGCCAAACAAGCCTATCAGTTTGAGTCGTAAGGAAAGTGCTGAGATTATCATGTTTTACATGGATAAAAAGAACTGAAATTAAATTCAGAATGTGATGACTTTTTCATACCAATGTTTATGTTGTATTTGTGGCCTTTAAACATTCAATAAAATTGCTATATGTAAGAGTTGGTGGTAAATTTGTTATTAATCAAATTATATGTGTACCTTATGATCAACTTTTGATATTTATAAAAAGGGATATTCAAAGATTAGTATTCTCTCAAGTACATAGAATATCACTGCTGCTCTGGAGATTAGGACATGGAACAATGTCTTCAAACTACAGGAAAGGAAATTCTACCTGAACATTAGGAAGAACTTCTTGACAGTGAGAGCTGTTCAGCAGTGGAACTCTCTGCGCTGAAGTGTGGTGGAAACTCCACACTTTTAAACAGAGGCTGGATGGCCATCTGTTGGGGGTGCTTTGAATGTGATTTTCCTGCTTCTTGGCTGGGGATTGGACTGGATGGTTCACGAGGTCTCTTCCAGCTCTAGGATTATATGATTCAAAGTATTAACAGTTTTTCACTTTTGCATGTGTCCTAAACTCCAGCAAATTTGGAAGGCTGATAGTTTCATTTACAGTAGAGTCTCACTTATCTGACATAAATGGGTCAGCAGAACGTCGGATAAATGAAAATGTCAGATAATACAGACTCTCTTACTGTTACCTGTCTGACGTGGTGCTAGACATCTAGAATACTAACAAGGACGCAAAGAGTTAAGGCAAGGTAATGCCTCGGGGCTAGAGTGGTCCAGCAGGAAGATGCAGAAGAGGAGCATGGAAATCACGGAGGGAGGATGCTTCTGCTTCTGATCCTGCCTGTTTTCCCCCTGTCACGTTGCCAGGGCTCTGCCAATATTTAGGCAGAGATGAACCAAACAAAAACCCAGTTTGTTTGAAACAATTTAATTAAAACAGCACTTACTTTTTGGCTGTTTTAATAGTCCAAAATATAAAAGATTGAACTGAGCCACAGAATATAAAACAAAAACAGCAAACACTCTTGCAGGTTCAAGATAACTCCGTAGTCAAAAGGTCCAGTCCAGTGGTCAAACACAGAGAGTTCAATAAACAAAGTCCAGGGATCAAGACCATAATCAAAAGCCAGCCCAAGATCCAAGGTTCCAGGATTCCAAAGGTTCAGGAGACAGGTCAGGACACCTAAAATCCACAAACCTGGGGGAAAACCAGCAGCATCTACCACCAAGATAAGACAAATACTTTTCTCCCAAAGAGCAGTCCCAAGGCTAGCTCCTTATATCTAGAAACACCCAGATGCAACCTATCTCTTGCATACCACTACCCTTAATTGTTTTCACTCATGAACTCTTACTTACAGATTATTCAACCCTTTAGAACTAAGACTTACATTAAAGGACATTGGATAAGAACATCAGATAAGATGGAATGTCAGATAAGTGAGACTCTACTGTACTTAGTCCTACTAATGTAAGACAACAACAACAATGCAGCCAGACCGCTCACAGGCATGACTTCCGAGATAGATAGACACACACCTTAGGTGAAAAAAAGGAATGACACAAATAGGAAACGAATGCAATACAATTGTAAAACAGTTTATCCAGATTGAAATAACAGCAGTTGCAAAGTGAAATGTCCCTTCAACAATCAAGACTCAAGACTTCCGAGAGATGGCATGGTGTCTCTACTTTTGTACATTTCAGTACTTCTTCAGTATGAAAAGGTGGTCTCTTTGTAGTTTGATGATTCTCCCAGAGAATTTTAAATGCCTCAAGAAAAATGATGAATTCCAGGATTCCATAGGATGACACTATAGCAGTTAAAGCATTGCTAAATGTGTAGTGTGAAGACCTCTGCACAAAAGTCAACAGTGGCACTGAAATACAACATCGCCCGAGCTCTGCGAGTGCAGCTTTTTTCCGCATGAAGCAGAGAGTGTCTGAGGACCAGGACATCCGTAGAGATACCAGGGTGCTTGGTTATAAAGCTATTTTCATCCCAACCCTGCTATATGCTGCAAAACGTGGACTGTGTACAGATGTCCCACTCAACACCTGGAATGATTCCCTCATCGCTGCCTCCAGAAAATCCTGCAAATCTCTTGGGAGGACAAGCAGACAAATGTCAGCGTGCTGCAAGAAGCAAAGACCACCAGCATTGAAACAATGCTCCTCCGCTGGACCGGCCACTGTGTCCGGATGCCCGACCACCGTCTCCCAAAGCAGTAGCTCTACTCCGAACTCAAGAACCTAAAACAAAATGTTGGTGGGCAGGAAAAGAGATTTAAAGATGGGCTCAAAGCCAACCTTAAAAACTCTGGCATAGACACTGAGAACTGGGAAGCCCTGTCCGTTGAGTGCTCCAGCTGGAGGTCAGCTGTGACCAGCAGTACTGTAGAATTTGAAGAGGCATGAATGGAGGGCAAAAGAGAGAAATGTGCCAAGAGGAAGGCGTGTCAAGCCAACCCCAACCGAGACCGCCTTCCACCTGGAAACTAATGCCCTCACTGCGGGAGAAGATGCAGATCAAGAATAGGGCTCCACAGTCACCTACGGACCCACCAGTGCACTGATCTTGGAGTACTATCTTACTCGGACAATGAGGGATTGCCTAAGTAAGTAAGTAAAAAAACAAACCCCACACGGTCATCTCTCACTAGGCTGTTGAAACTCGAATAGGAAAGTGCCTCTCTCCCAGAAAATGTACATCAGTTTAGAAATAGTGTCATTTTGTTCTGCCTTGTATTGACATTCCTCCAAACTTTGTATCTTTTGGTCTATATATCTCCATCTAGAATGGCCAAAGAACAGAAATGAGGCCAGGAATGCTCCAAAAACTAACTGAAGAACCTAAGGTTGGGATCAACTGCTGTAAGATAAAACAGGAATAGCAGCCCGCTGACACACAGCTTTAATATATGTTTGCATCTGATTTTTATGAAGCATGCAGATCACGCCCACAAGTGTCACCAAGTCATGACTTATAAAACCCTGTGAAAATTGCAGAAAGGGATTACTGCTTGGAGTCAGAAGCTGCAGCCCAAGACTTTCTTGGATCAGGACAGGTACTGTCTTTTCACTTTATCTCTCTGGCCCCTTTATCATTATGGTAATTTGGTGATAAACTGAAGGCTTGTCCATATTGATTATATACCGTGAGGTGAGTAGAAAACTGGGTTCAATCGGGTTAGCTCCACACAAAGGAAAATTGAGGATTACTCTGGAATTTATGTGAAACAGAGCAGCCCACACTTTTGAGCACAGAGTGACTAGAATGAGGATTGATATTGCACCGGGATTGTGGTGCAGCTGGCTGAGTGTCAGCTGCATTAAGATCACTCTGACCAAAAAAAGGTCATGAGTTCAAAGCCAGCCCGGGTTGGAGTGGGTTTCCAACCAATTGTGTGTAGCCTGTTGTCGACCTTTGCAACCCGAAAGACAGTTGCATCTGTCAAGTAGGAAAATAAGGTACCATCTTAAAAGTGTGGGGAGGCTAAATTAACTGATTTATGAGGCCATAAAGAAGACTCCAGCAAAGCATTCCAGCGGGGAAGCATGTGAGGAATGCGGAAGTGCTTCATCAGCATCGCAGATGGACGATGAAAGCGACAGCTCCCCAGGCGGCCAGAAAAAGTTAAATAGCCTCTGTCTATATCTGTCTATGTTTGTATGTCAAAAATTGGCATTGAAGGTTTGCCATATATGTGTACACTGTAATCCGCCCTGAGTCCCCTGCGGGGTGAGAAGGACGGAATATAAAAGCTGTAAATAAATAAATAAACAAATAAATAAATAAATAAATAAAATATCGACAGAGGCAACTGAAAACAGATCCCTTTCTTTGCACTTGTCAGGGAAAATTGTATGAATCAGGCCTGTGTTGCCTCCTTTCTTCTCTCTGCTCAACTGGACTCCACTTCTGATAACAACTTACTTACTTAGGCGATCCCTCGTAGTCTGAGGATGATGGTCCTCCAAGTGTAGTATCCTGGCGGTAGGTCTGTAGGTGACTGTGGAGCCCTATTCTTGACCTGCATCTTCTCCCGCAGTGAGGGCATTGGTTTCCAGGTGGAAGGCAGGTGGGGTTGGCTTGACGTGCCTTCCCCTTGGCACGTTTCTCTCTTTTGCCCCCCATTCATGCCTCTTCAAATTCTACAGCACTGCTGGTCACAGCTGATCTCCAGCTGGAGCGCTCAAGAGCCAGGGCTTCCCAGTTCTCAGTGTCTATGCTAGAATTTTTAAGGTTGGCTTTGAGCCCATCTTTAAATCTCTTTCCCTGTCCACCAACATTCTGTTTTCCATTTTTGAGTTCGGAGTAGAGCAACTGCTTTGGGAGATGGTCAAGCATCCAGACAACGTAGCTGGTCCAGCGGAGTTGATGGTGGAGGACCATTGCATCAATGCTGGTGGTCTTTGCTTTTTCCAGCACGCTGACATTTGTCCGCTTGTCTTCCCAAGAGATTTGCAGGATTTTCCAGAGGCAGTGCTGATGGAATTGTTCCAGGAGTTGCATGTGATGTAGACAGTCCTCATTTCGCAGGCGTACAGCAGGGTTGGGAGGACAATAGCTTTATAAACGGATGTACAATATGAATGGGTTCCTGAGTTAATAAGTACAACAAAAATTTGGTACTGTACCAAACACATATAATATTGTTTTGTGAACACTATGATTTTTAAAAAATACTTTTTATTAAATACATTTTCTCTTTTATTTATACATAAAACCAAGGTAGGAGAGTAGGGTGATGTTGGGCCGAATCTATACATAAAAAAATTAAGTTGGGGGGGGGGGGCGCAAGAGAGTAGAAAAAGAAAGAAAAAAAAGGAAAAGGGGGGGGGGGTAGGGGAATTCACGTCGACTTCCAATCTTCTCCACTTATCCACTGCCAGTCTGGTGAACGCTATGATTTTGAACTATATAATAAGTTTCAACAGTCACATTATTGGCTGAACTGGCTATTTTGTTGTACTTATCCCTACGGATGTCCCAGTCCTCAAACACTCTCTGCTTCATTTGGAAAAATGCTGCACTCGCAGAGCTCAGGTGGTGTTGTATTTCAGTGTCAATGTTGACTTTTGTGGAGAGGTAGTGGAAAGGTAGCGGAAATGGTCAACATTTCCTAGTGTTGCACCATTAAGCTGTATCTCTGGCATTGGAGAGGGATTGGCTGGTGACTGCTGGAAGAGCACTTTGGTTTTCTCAATGTTCAGTGACAGGCCAGGCTTCTCATATGCTTCTGCAAAAGTGTTTAGAGTGGCTTGTAGGTCTTCTTCTGAATGCGCACAGACGATGTTGTGATGACAACACTGGTCGCTCATGATGGAAAGGAGCTGTCCCGAAACTGCACCCTGAGGCTTTTAATGCAATTTAAAAGAAAACACCCTTTTCATTCACCTCTAGATTGGACGACTGTAATGCGCTCTGCGTGGGGCTGCCCTTGAAAACAGCTCGGAAATTTCAACTGGTCCAACGGGCAGCAGCCAGGATGTTAACTGGGGCTCCTTACAGAGAAAGATCAACTCTCCTGTTCAAGGAGCTCCACTGGCTGCCGTTTATCTTCCGAGCCCAATTTAAGGTGCAGGTGCTTACCTACAAAGCCCTAAATGGTTTGGGACCATCCTACCTGCGTGACCGTATCTCTGTTTACGAACCCACGCGCTCACTTTGTTCATCCGGAGAGGTCCTGCTCATGATCCCGCCAGCGTCGCAGGCACGTTTGGTGGGGACACGAGACAGGGCCTTTTCTGTGGTGGCCCCCCCCACTCTGCAACACCCTCCCAAAAGATCTCAGACAGGCCCCTACATTGGCAGTCTTTAGAAAGAACTTGAAGACTTGGCTGTTCTGATGTGCCTTTCCAGAATAGGAACTTCCAATAACAAGTCCCAGAAGCACTTTATTAGAACGAAGATTTCTGCACACTGCACTTACCCTATAATCCTTACATATCACCTGTCACATCAGCACTTTTAATCCTGTACCCATTACTCTGGCCCGGCCCAGTTTTATAGTGTCTTGATGTATTGTTTATTGCTTGTTGTTTAATATTGCTTTGATTATTTTTAATTTGCTTTAGGTGTTGTATTGTTATGTTGTGTTTTGAGGCCTTGGCCTTTGTAAACCGCATCGAGTCCTTCAGGAGATGCTAGCGGGGTACAAATAAAGATAATAATAATAATAATAATAATAATAATAATAATAATAATAATAGTAGTAATTCTCCACTTCCATGGAAATACCAGCATTGTTCTATGTGTGCCTGTGCATTGAACTAGGATGGGGTAGGGTGAGTTGGTTGGGGGATGGAACAGATTGGTAGATGGTTACCTAGGTTGGACATGTATAGTGTCGCTATTTATTTTTATGTCTGAATAACTGAAGGCTATCAGGGCTTCAGAAATATAGATTTCCAAAAGAGCTTTACTTTGGCATCCAGTTTTTTCCTATTTCAGTGTATGTGTGTACACTGATATCTGCATATTTGAATATCCAAATGGAAACATTTGTTTTGGAAGCCTTATAAACATTTGTCTTTTATCCATATACATATTGACACTGAAGTAAACAAAGTGACACAAGGTAAATTCCTTTGGTATCCTACTTAGAATGAATTTTGCCTACTTTCCATTTCCAACGGCGCTCCATGCAGTCATGCCGGCCACATTGTCAGGATAATTGCAATTATTTCATATATGTTTTTCAATGTGTTAGTATTGTATCTTAAGATGGATTCAGTCATGTTCATTTTTGTTCACATGTGCAGCAAATTGTTATTGTTACAGAGTTACAGGCCAGACAGTAGAATCTTTGAAACTGTGATAACTGAATTCCTTTGCTCTGAGAAAAATAGGGAGTGTACCAGCCAGAACATAGATAAGACAGGAGGGCGGATTTTCTTTGTCTCTGTGTTTCATGCTATTGCTTTGTTAGTCGCCATCTTTCCTCATCAACATGTAGTCGTGTATAGAAGATGCTTTCAGTAAAGTTTATTGTTTTGAAACTTAAGAAGTCTGCAGTGTGTTAATTGATCTGGAAACCTCAAGTACTCTGTGCATGACCCAGGTGTCTCACTTTGACAGTTGGTTATGGGCCCAGATCCTGAGTGTCTGGCAGAAGTTGTTGGAGGTTTACCAAGATCCAGATCTACAAGCTTGCTGACCAGAACTGTGGAGTTTAACCCAGTTGACGCGGGAGGTTGCTGGAGCATGGAAACTGGAACAGCCTGATTGAAAGCAGAAGCAAAGATGTTCAGCGGAGCGTGCTGAGACCCATTAAGAAGTTGTGAAGTGGGTGATTGATGCCGGAACGTGTTAAAGCTGTAAAGCCATTAAGTGCCAGAAGGTAGACTGCCAGAAGCTGTGTTGTTTCATATGCAATCATTCAGCTGGGCGATACTCGGTTCCAAGGGTCTACAAGAAATCTATGCTAAGACATGGCTGCTTCAAAGTTCCACCCAGCCTTTGAGGATGACAGACAGAGTGATGGAGTATACAGTGAATCGTCAGTGAGGTATGCAGATTTTCGTGTTTTTGCTGCAACAGAAGGGGACATATTGCCAGAATTTGTGAAGAGAGAAGGATTCAACTCAGAGGAATGGCTCATGGGAAATATGGAGCCGGAAAAAGCTGTTGTGAAGATGAGCAGAGATGTGGCGGGAGAGAGAAAAATTCCTGTGTGGAGGAGTTGACAACCAGAGCCGGGGCTGATCGGAGGTGTTACAGATGCAGTAAGTTTGGACATTTGATCCGTAATTGTGTTGAAAGAAGAGATCAACCCAGAGGTGGCTGCGCTCGTGGAGCCAGAGGTCGGGGAAGCTACATAAGCAGAGGGGGCTATTATGAAGAAACTGTCCCAAGCTGTGCAGAGGAAGCAAGAATAATGGTTGCGGCTGCAGGAGAGCTGGATGACATCAAAAGAGACAGATGGATTTGGACTCGGGGGCTACACATCATATAACGAATAGTCTGAACAACATGACCAACGTTCAATACACTCAGGGTAACATGGTAACTATGGCAGATGGTTCTTATCAACTGTTTAACAAATTTGGTACATGTTTTATT